CGCCGACGACCCACAAGGCGACCAGCAATACCAACAGGGGGGGCGAACCATGGCCCAGTGTGGACAAAATTCCGACGCCAACAGCAAACACGACTCCATGCATCATCACACGCCCACCGGACAAGACCAGACGACCTCAGCAATCCGATCGAGGAAGTCATCCTCGACTCCATCCCACTCACAGACACGACTACAAGATCACCAAACACCAGTACCCAGACTCGCTCTCACGAGGTCCGCCTTCAACAACTGATCCAACAGCGGCGCTCTACATCCAATTCCGACCATCACCAACTATGACATTTCAGCAAAGACATCCAGAAGGAGCTCCGCCACATCAAGCGCTGCACCAAGCGCGAACAGATATCAACAATACTTGCCTTTTTCCGTGGTCTCAAGACTACTACGCAACTCCAAACACGCAGAAAACGGCACCTGATCGCACAGATGACCGACAGACACGGCCACACATGCACCACAAGAGAGCAAATCGCGAACATGTTCGCCGATTTACGAGACCCTTTGCCTTTCGACCAACCAACCATTACCACAAGCAATCTCGCACCCACCGGTGCAACCCTTCACTAGAGAAGAGCTTGACACGGCTATCACACAACTGAAGAGAGGAACAGCTCCCGACAACAGAGGCATCAACACAGACATGCTTAAAGACTCCTGCTTCGATCTCAAGACAGCCCTTCTGCACTTGTGCAACACCACGCTGCAACTAGCAGCTCCGACTTCAGAGAAGTGGCGACAGACCATCGTCAATCTCATTCCCAAGTCTGGGGACCTCACACTCCCAAGCAACTGCCGACCTATATGCAGCAGATCTATGCCATACAAGCTCTACAGCCGCTTACTGTACAACCGACTCCTTCCAATATTCGACACTCACTAAACACCTAATCAAGCACGCTTCTGATTCGGACACTACGACGGACTTTTTGTTTACATTCCACCTTCTACGACAACGAGTACACGAGTGGCAGCAGAGTCAATGGGTGTCTGCCCTTGATTTCAGGGTAGCCTTCGACTCGGTCCAGCATAAAAGCATCTGGCAATACACTACCATTTTACGACAGCCCTACCATATACAACAGTTATACCACGGCCAGACAGCCACAGTACGCACTGACGTTGACAGCTGGACATTCTCCCTCCACCGCGGGACGAGACAGGGAGATCCTCTCAGCTCCGTGCTTCTCAACGCAGTGCTCCGACACAGCATGGCACCACTGACGACAAAATGGCGGGACGCCCACCACGGCATCCGACTCAGCGACACCAGCTCCCAGTATTCTCACCAGCATGCGATTTGCAGATGATGTGCTACGGATGGCCCCGACCTTACCACGACTCGCCGAGATGCTCGCCGACACCGTTGCTGCAGCCGCGGCCCACGGGCTCGACCTGCACCGGGCGAAGACACATGTCATGGCCAAGTGGACCAACCGCACGGGCCGAGCGTGCGCACGCTCGGTCAACACACGCGGCATGGAAGCTGAGAGTTTACTGCACGACGGGAAACTCAGATACCTCGGGAGAACGAAGGATTGCAAAAAAAACCAAGGATTGCAATCCTGGGTTTTTTTGCAATCCAGGTTTTTTTGCAATCCTGTGGCGGTGGAACTGCAACACTGGATCAAGTTCGCATGGGCCGCATTCACACATCATAGGCAGGAGCTCACGAGCAACAGCTACCCACTGGAGCACCGACTCGAGTTCTTCGGCGCCACCTTGACTCCGACGGCGTTGTACGCATGATTGCACTTGGACACGGAGTCCATGAAACGACAGGTCAACACCACACAACGAAGGATGATCATAATGATGATCAAGGCACCACGACGCCAGAATAACCACCGCGACGAGCACACTGCACAAGCTACAACCACTTCGCTAAATCATGTTTCGGAGAGCATTTCCGCCACATCCGCGGCTCCTATTGCTACGACAACCAGTTCATCTACCACCACGTCTTCTGACGATGACGTTGGCAGCAACCCCGACGAGCCCCAACTTCCCGAGGCGGTCGATCTGACCAACCTGATCTCAGACGACCTTACCGAGCCGTGGCTCGACTTTTTCCGCCGCGCAGCACACAGAGCGAGTTGTTGGCGCTTCGCGAATCCCCACCAGTGACCCGCTGGCGCCCTCGCCTGCGGTCGCGACAGAAGACCAGAAACGATGCCCAGAGAAATTGCCTCGATCAGGGAAGTGGGCAGCACACAGGGGAAGCCGTTATGAGACATCTTGGGATATCGTGAGCCATCTTGGAGGTCATTTTGGGCTCTCCCAGGCGCTCTTGGAGTCATCTTAACCAGTGCCCCCCCCCCAAGAGGCCAACATGTGGCTAAAACCTTCGTTAAATCAATGATTTGGCATTCTCGCCGAGGCCTCTTGGAGCATCTTGGGTGCCTCTGGGGGGTCTCTTGGTGCCATTGGGGGCCTCTTGGGGGCCTCTTGGGGGCCTCTTAGGGCCATCTTGGGACACTCTTGGGGCCTCCTGGGCGCTTCTTGGGGCCATCTTGGAGGAGATCGATCACAGGAGGGGGGGTTACGAATTAGGGTTTCCCCCTCAGGAGGCCAACATGGGGCCACAACCCTAGTAACACCAATGATTTTGGCTCACTCGCCGAGGCCGTTTTGGACGCTCCGACGACTTGGGTAGGGGGTAGGGGGAGGGGTAAACCCCCTCCCCGAATGGGAAGAAGGATGGGTGGAAGAGGAAACGCTCTAAACCACCGACGCCCACAGGGCTGGTGGGATTATTGTATGGATCTACACTACATGGAGCCATGGGTCACGACACAGCGACGACTTTTGTGGAGACAGGCCCACGCAATAGCCCGTCACAGCGCCACCCGATGGACCTAACAAGTTGCTCACTGACATCCTGGTCTCGATGCGAGGCCATGAGGACAGCGCCAACAAGGTCGACAACCGAAACGTTGGGAGGACGAACTACACGACTACCTCCGACAGCGGATTACGACCATGCGCACGAACGACGGTTTGAGTGACGTCATGATTGATACTACGTGGATCCACGTAGCCTCCGAGACACAAACACCTGGATAATCATGGACTCCAACTTCATCTCATCGACGGGAGCCCAGCACCCGAACAAGACGATCAAGACACCTGCCAACACGACATCAACCGACACCGACGCTGGAACCCACTCCAGCAGTGAGGCAAGCTAGTGCTGTCTGGCCTGTGCTTTCCCCAGCACGTGTACGCATCAACAGGTTACGACCTCCACGCTCCGGCCCAAGGAGGTAAGGACCATGTCCTGATGAGAGTGCGAGTGCGCATGCGCATACAATGCGAATGGGTGTGCAGAACACGTCGCGGAGAGATCCAGCCGTCTTCTGGATGGAGCCAGGGAAGAGAGGGTAGTAGCATAAACGGTGTGCAGCTGTGGAGGTGCATCAGTGGGCGTGGAGGAGTGAAGAGGATGCGGACGGGGGGGGGACGTCCGCCTCCGCCTCCGCCTCCGCCTCCGCCTTCGCCTTCGCCTCCTCCTCCTCCTCCTCCTCCTCCTCCTCCTCCTCCTCTCCGCCGCCTCTGGCGGTGTGCGTTGCGAGCAGGAACGCAGCAAAGCCACGGGAGGATGGGGAGAGCCCTGAAGGGGCCCTGGGACACACAAAAAAAATACACACAAATAACAGGATTCCCAATACTTTCCCATATTTTCTGGGTTTGTTGTCCTCCCCCCCCACTTCCCACATTTTCCCATATCTTCTGGGGAATCGGCGATCAATTGTGTCTGTTTTTTTTCCCCCCTCCAGACTGCTCCAGCCCCTGCTCCGACTTCGTGCCTCGTGTTGTGGAGGACGGTCAATGGAGAGGAAGCGTGCTGCCAGATAGTTTCCAGATGTCCGAAACGTGCTTCGAACATGTTTTTGAAGACGTTAAAAGCATGTCCGAAACATGTTTTTAGAACAATGCTCTACGCCCGGGCCCGGAGCTCCAGCAGTTGGGGGCGGAAAAGAGGGGGGTGACGACTAGGGGGGGGGGATGTCATGGCGGGAGCCATGATATTTCCCCAGATCTCATGGCGCCTCTTCTCATTTCATTACGTCCCTGGCCCCCCGCTGGGCCGCGCACATGCCGCCGGCCATGATTTGCACCCCCCCCTCTTGGACATCCCCCTCTTGGCCGCTCCCGAAGCAGGGGCGAAGCGTCCTGGCGTGCCTGCAGTCCCGCCAACAAGGTTCTGTCTCCTCCTCCTCCGCCTCCTCCTCCTCCTCCTCCTCCTCCTCCTCCTCCTCCTCCTCCCCCTCCCCCTCCTCCTCCCCCCCCTCCTCCTCCTACCTTTGCGGTTCCCACGAAGTGTTCTTAGAGCATTGCTGGCTGGGGCTGTCCTGTTTTATCACATCGGGCTTGTGTTCTAAGAGCATTGTTTCTGTTCTCAGAGCATGCCTGGGTTCTAGGAACATTTCGTGGTAGGACTAGGCATGCCAGGACGGTCGGTATTTGCTCACCAGGCATATCTCTGGAGAAAAAAACACGGACACAATGAATCGTCGATTCCTTAGAAGATGTGGGAAAATGTGGGAAGTGGGGGGGAAGACAGAAGCCCAGAAAATATAAGAAAGTATTGGGAATCCTGTTACTCGTGTGTATTTATTTGTGTGTCCCAGTGCCCCTTCAATATCCACGATTCGATCAATTGGATAATCGATGATCCACGCAGGTGGCTGCGCGTGGCGTCGACCACTTCGGTTGCGCATCCCCTAGGGCGGCTCCCCTCTTCGGATGGGGCGCGGAGTAGCCGGATCAACCTCGCAGGCGATTCGATGGATCTGCGATGAGGGGCAGCCTTGAAAAGCAGTGGGGTCAGGTGCCCCTCGTTTTCTGGGCCTCGGCTTCGGCGGACAGCTCCCGCGAGCAGGCTTGGGCTGTTTCTCTGCAGGAGGCCGAGGAGCGAGGTGGCCCGACTATAGTCGGGGGTGGACAGAACCCCCAACAGTGACACGTCGATTAGTGAACTGTCCGTTTTCGGTTCTCGAGAGGGCGCCGCGGCCGTTATTTTCCAGGCTTGCGCTCGCCAGGGTTGGGCCTCATGCCGTTTTCACTAAACCACGTTTTGCTAAAGGGGGGTCTGTCCATCCCCGAACTATAGGAGGTTGCCATGGGGTGGTCCCGACCCAACGGCCTCAGCTTCTCGCGCCACCTTGAGGCCCGCCCTCGGGGCCCCTCGGGGTGTGGTTCGGAGGCCACCTCGGCCCTCCTGGCCCCGAGCTTCCTCGGCCCTTGCCTGCAGGGGTCTTGCGTACTGTGGTTTTCCTGGTCCTGTAGTGTCAGGTGTCTCCACTGCAGTCTTCCGCGCTGTTTCCCATTCGGTCTCCCGTATGGTCGTGGTCTCCCGTATGGTTTCCTGTATGGTCTCCCGATCCCCGTATTGTCTCGTGTCTGGTTTCCCATAACTGCAGCACATGACCGTCTAATGTTTTGTTTGGTCTGTCGTAATATTGTATAGGGTCTTCTAAGTTGTCTGCCGTCATGGTGTAAGTTTGCTTTTGGGGTATATTGTTCGCTGCTCAAAGACTTTGGGACCCTGGAGTAGGCTCGATTGTCTTCGGGAACATCGCTGGGAACAGTCCTGGAACCCACCGAGAGCTTCGAAAGCTCTCCCATAGCCCTCCGTTGGTCTTCACTCCGTCCCTTTCAGTCACCTCGTCTTCCCTCTACCCCTCTTCGTCCCTCCCTCCTCTTTGCCATCCTCCCGTCCCTGCCTCCAGCATGGAGCCCGCGCCATTCGAGCACTGGACGCACCGTCTCGTGGCATCTTCTCTACAGTGGATGCGTGTGTGTGTGTGTGTGTGTGTGTGTGTGTGTGTGTGTGTGTGTGTGTGTGGGTGTGTCATGCGAAGTGCATTTTTGCGTCGCCAGCCGCAGAACAGCTGGACTCCCGATCCTGGTCACCGTTGCAGTTCCATCCTCCGCCACATGGACAGAGTGGTCAATTCTGCAATGAAGTTGACATGGTGCCTCCCTGTTGCACATTGGTGATGCGTGGGTTGGTCATGACGTCTTGCGGGTGGCCTCAGGATTGCTCGACGCTACGAGACGTTGGAAGGGAACGAGGCGCGCCAGCAGTTGGACGCGAGTGGTGTCTCCTTTTGATGCTCTTACCGCAGTCGTCGCCGCGGTCGTATCTGCTTGTCCTGCTGAGGCAGCATGTTCGGCCATTTCTTGTTTCTTTTTTCGACTACGTCATTTCAGTTTGAGTGTGGCAGATCGCAATGCTAAGGCCGTTGCTGCTGCCGCTGCTGCCATCGCTTCTTTTAATCGCGGTTATGGTCTTGATGGGTTTGCTTACTTTGCTGTTGCTGCTGCCCATTTCGTGTTGGGTGCAAGCGTGTGCGCACGCCTGCAGACGCTGCGCTTCTACGACTTGTCGGGTCTGGTTCCTTGGGCCAGGGCCGATAGGGGCACCAAGGGTCGTGAGGAACATACGTGATAGTTGGCCAGGGAACCGCGAGAGCACAGAGCACCATGTATTCACGATCAGGGTGCCGCTGCTGCTTGCGACTTGCCATCAGCTGCCATTTGATGCGGCCCGTTGATTGCTGCGTCGCAGTGCAGTCAGGTCGGAGCTGCTTGCTCAGTGGCGGCGACAGGCATCGGCAGTTCGTGACTGATGCCTCCTGTCGCTGCCTGTCGCTGCCTGCCTTCGTCTACTGCTTCCGATGGTGGTGGTGGCGCTTCGCCGTACCGCATGCTGCGTCCTGCTGCCACAACCTCCTGTCGCCTGATGCGTACTCCCTCCGTCACCACCCACCAAACCACCCCAACCTAACCCGAAGCCCTCAATTTGCCCTCCATTTCCAGTGGGGGGGGGGGGTCGGGTAACGTTGAAAAAACACATGGAACCCGTACCCCCCCAACCCGAAATTGGGGTCAAATTCGGGTCTTCGGGTTGGGTTGGGGTGGTCTGGTAGGTAGTCACTCCGTACTTTTGATGTTGGAGAGGCCTTGTGGCCCGTTCCGCCGGCTCTGGCGGGGGATCAGGAGGCCCCGGGGAGGCCGCGATTCAGCCGACTCGGCCTTCTTGGAAGTATTCCGGGGCAGCGCGGCCCTGTGGGGGGTTTCGACACCTCCGATTCGATTCGATTCGATTTCGATGGCTTCCGATTCCGATTCGATTCGACTTGGGATTCCGATTTGGGTTCCGATTTCTTATTGAAGGCCTACTAGCCTGCCGATTTCCGCCGATTCGACTTTTTCCGACTCGGCTGCCGATTTCCGCCGATCCGATTCATGTCGATCGCCGATCCGACTTATCGATTCGAGTTTGCGCTCTCCTGGCCAGGCATCGTGGGCCATCTTGGTGGTTTGGGCGATTTGCCTGGGCCGTCTGGGACGCCGTCGTGGTTCGGCGAGCGGGACTGCCTGGGAGAAGAGGGGCGCCTTGATGGAGGATCACGGGGGAGGCCCCAAGTGGGCGGCGGATTCTTAGATGCATGTTCGAGTCTCCAGAGAGGCCTTCGAGAAGGAATGTGTAGGCGTCTTGGGTCCTCTCGGACGCCTTTGGGAGCCTCTGGGGGTCTTTTGGAGGCGTCCTGAGGGCTGACTGGTGCTCTCGGATACGATCTTTCGGGGAACGGCTCGACAAGTTAGTTCGAGTTTCCCTCTGGCGGACCTGTGCGGCCCTTCTGTTTTTTTTCGTGGGCCTCTTCGGCCGCCTTTGTATAGGCCTCCCAGATGGGGTCCGAGTAGATGGGTAGGAGGATCGCGCCGCATCGCCGATGCATCGCCAATGCGACTCGATGTTGTGCCTGATTTTATTTACGCCGACGTCGCCGATGCATCGCCGTCGTCGACGTCGATGCATTGCCAATGCGTCGGCGATGCGGTGCGATCCGCCGACCCCATCCACTCGGACCCCATCTGGGAGGCCTCTACCTGGGGCGTTCTAGGGCTGCCTTGGGGGCCAAGTGGGCCGTCTTGGCGCGATCTTGGGGGATTTGTGGAGTGTCTTGGGCGGCCGAGGGTTTCGTGGGTTGTCTTGGCGTGATCTTGTGGGCTTCTCGAAAGGACGAAGAGGTGATAACGCAGAACTGCTGAATAATCTTAACGCAGTCTACATTGGTTTACCTCGTGAGGCTCTCCCTGGGCGCTCTTCCAGAGCCGTCTCAGGGGTTTCTTGGGCCGTCTTGTTGGCAGCTGAGCCCGTCTTGGAGCGGTCGTGGGCCGTTTGAGTACCCTCCTGGATCCGTCGTAAACCACTGGAAGAGCGCAAACCTGGCCCGACGATAACCTGTAAGGGAGGGGGACAGTTTTCCCCAGAGGGGGCGGGTTTGCATCGCCAAGGCGCACGTGATATTGAGAAGGGGGATGGCCCCCCCCGGGATCCCCCCGTTGCGGGGAAGGGATCAGAGGGAGGAGGTTTCCCTTCGACGCAATTGCGACAACATTCTGTTCGGTTTCCTTCAGATTGGCGTGCGCTTCGGGTGATTGGCGCTGCCCCTTCAGCTTGAGGCGGCCGGCCAAGCCTCTCGTACGCCAGGAGGGTGGTGGTGACGCCTCGCCGTACTGTATGCTGCTGCCTGCTGCCGCAACATCCTGCCGCCTTCTGCTTTCCGTCGCTCTTCAAGATTTTGTCAGTCTTGCTCTCATGCTCGGCAGTGGCTGCGTTTGCTCACCCGTGCCAGGCCCCCCTCGGCGTCCAGGTGGATGCGCTCCTGGTGCGCCCCGCAAGCCGTGCCCCGCCTCCATCAGACTCTTTCTTGTTCCCGCTCTGCTACTCAGCCACGCGCAGAGGGGGGTGGGTGGAGGGGGGAGGGCTTCTTAGAAGCACCCCTGCTTCTTGGAAGGCGCGGGCCTTATCTATAGATGTAAGGCCAGCGCCTTCTAACCAGCAGCCTCCTTCTAAGAAGCCCTCCCCCCTCCCTCCACCCCCTTGTGCGCGCCGCCAAGCTACGTCAACTGTGCTTGCTACCCATCGCGCAGAGAGCTTGCCGGAAGGGCTTATTGGATCGGAGCGACAACGTTTCTTCATCATTGATCACTACCATGGAAGCCACTGTCTGAACGGACGGCCCCTCAGTCCAGCATGACGTGGCCCTCGAACCCATACAATCCAGGATTGCAACCTTGCTATGCCCAAGGACGCGCACTTCGTCCAGCAGTAAGATCGGCAAGGCAGGAGCAGCATCGCCAAGGACCTGATAACCCCCCAAAGTCCAGAACTAATAATCTCAACAATTTCGGTGAGGACCGAACGCTTCCGTTCCCGCACCTGGGGCCAAAGTGTTATCCCTCCAACTCCTCTCCAGAACCTTCTCTCATATTCGAAGCCGCGGCCGACTGTGAAAGCAACACTGTTCTCATCCTCGCAGCGCTGATCCATTGGCGCGCTTGGAGTTAATATTTTTCTCTGCGCGTTACGAGCTGCTACAATGCGTACATGCTATACCCTTCATTGGGCTACCCTGCAGGGACATCGAAATAGCCAACATATACACAACAAGGGAGTGATGCAATCACCAATTGCGACACGCGATAAGATGTTCATCTTCGCAGCCATGCTCATCTCCGCAGCGAAAGCCAAATCGCTCTCATCAGCACAGCCGTGGCTATTTTCGGCACCACTCATTATTATCATTCTCGCAAGCGTGAACCATTACGGAAGCGTTGAAGTTGTTTATTTTCGTAGCACGGGTTCATTGGCGCGCGCAGACTTCATGATGTTTGTTTCATTATCTGTGTTGCGTAATGAGTGCTATACCCCCCTCCCAGTGTGCAATCCCCCAGGGGCGCAGACATATTCAATATCAGCAAAACGGAACGATGCAGGCTCCAGTTGCAAAGCGCAATACGGCTTCTATCTTCGCAACCGTGTTCGTATGCTTGACATATTCTGGCCAGCTACACTGGACCTCCCCCCCAGAGGAATGCAAAGTATCCTACTAGCAATCGAAAAAGTACCACCACGAAGTGCAAGTGCGAGAATTGTGCCGTGCAGAAGTACGAAGTACAGAAGTTCAGAAATCCGAGAGGAGAGTGTGTGAGAGAGATACTTATGTCATATGTTTGCTCACACTTTGCACTTTGTTTACATGTTCTAACTGTTACACTTTTTCACAGTTGGATGTGCGTTCGTCTGTTACGCCGCTTTTCGACACTGTTTTCGTACCGGCACTTCCGCGTTGCACATACTCAACATTTGCGTTTCGCGCAGGTGTGAAATATGGACTTTCGATCCGTACTGATTTTAGCTCGCCCCCCCTGTGATCATACCATGTGCCTTGGCTTCGATGCTGTCCACTTTTTCGTACTTCAGTCCTCCCCATCATCTGCTCCCCGCTCTCTGTCGTTCCTCCTCATCCTCTTATCCTCCTTCAGCGGGGCAGTGCAACCTCGGGCTGGGGGTGGCGGGGCAGCGCAAGGCTTCTTAGTGTTCTCTCGCGCTGGATCCTAGTCCCTCTCTACCCTCAGGAGGCGGATCATGATGATGATGACGAGGAGGAGGAGGAGGAGAAGGAATAACTATATGATATGAGTGAGGAGGAAAGAGCTAGATAAGACGACTGCGATCCCGACGATGATGACGATGATGATGACGATGATGATGATGACGATCACGATGACGATGATGATGGTGATGAGGAGGCGGAGGAATCCTTAGTAAGGAATCCTTGGATCCTTACCAAGTGATCATTGACAAGGAATATCTACCAAGGGATCCTTCATGAGGAGCCGGAGCCCTTAATGAGGAATATGTGCCAATCAATCTTTACTGAGGAGTACCAAGGGATGCTCATTAAGGAATATTTTCCTTGGAATCGCTAAGGACCTTTAACTGAGACGTCCACAATAAGGAATCGTAACTAAGGGCTCCTTGATGAGGAATCGTGAACTCAGGAGTCCTTCCAACGAAATCTGAATTAAGGATTTCTTAATCAGGAATCCTACCCCAGGAATCTGCCCCAAGGAGGCGTCGAGGTATCCTTCACGAGGAATCCTAACTGCGGAATCCGTACGCGGAGCATTTTCCAACTAATCTTTAATGAGGAATATGTACTACGATATCATTAATAAGGAATCCTTCGTATAATCCTTCATAAGGAATCCTGATTGAGGAATCCAGAATCCTCCATAAGGAGTTGTTTTGGAGTGTTAAATGAGGAATCCACATTCAGGATTCTTTCAAGAGGAATATGTATTTCGGATTTTCGATACGGGAGCCCTTAACAAGAAATCTCTACCTAAAGAATATTAGTACGGAGTCCTATGTAAGGAATCTGTAATAGGGAGTCGCTAAGGAATCCTTTTTATAATAATTCTCATCTAAGGAGCCCCTACTGCGGAATCTTAATTAAGGAATCTGTATTAAAGATGTATCAAGTTATCCTCACTGAGGGGTCTTTCCTACTGAACCCTGCATTCGAATTTTGACGAAGGAATCCTTAATGGCCGGGCGTATTCATCCTCGGTTCAAGGAAACGCTGTATAGTTGTGCTTGTTGTGGTTCTTTAGGTCTGGGATGCAAGGACACATTGTGTGTGTTTGTTTGTTTTGATTTCTGGTTTTGCAGGCTCAGAGAGAAGTGCTGCGATGGGGGCCGCGGCGAGCACTGGGGCTTGCAAAACCCCCCAAAACAAAGACACCGAAAAGACACAGTGCTTCGTGGCTTTACAAACAAAACAAAACTACACAGTGTTTCCTGGCACCAAGGATGCCAACTACTGTGTTTTGTTTTTTGTTATCCAGGCTCAGAGAGAAGTGCTGCGATGGAGACCGTCGCGAGCACCATGGCCTGCAAAGCCAAACAAAGTGACACACAACTAGCAATACACAGTGTTTCGTGGCTTCGCGAACCCAGCAAACCCAACAAACTAAACGTACACCGTGCTTCCTTGCAGCAAGGGCGCCAGCTACTGCGTATGTTTGGTTTCGTTGGTTTTGCAGGTTCAGAGAGAAGTGCTGCGATGCTGGCCGCAGCGAGCACTGGAGCCTGCAAAACCCCCCTGACACAGAAACAACGAAACGACACAGTGTTTCGTGGCTTCACAAACAACGAAACATCTACACTGTTTCCTTGCACCAAGGATGCCAACTATTGTGTATTGTTTTTCCCAACCATCCTGTGGTGTTGGGTCCTCGTTTTGAAGAGACGGTCCCCGCGTTCCCCCCCCCTCCTCTGCCCCCTCCTCTCCACGGCCCGCATGCGTCCCGCACACCCAGTACAGCGTTTCGTGGCCCTCCTCCCCCTCCTCCCTGCGTTTCACCCACCCAGTACAGCGTTTCGTGGCCCCTCAGGGAGCCCCACCGAAGGTCCCAGTGCTACTGTCCGCATGCGTCCCGCACACCCAGTACAGCGTGTCGTGGCCCCATAAGGAGCCCCACCGAAGGTCCCAGTGCTACCGTCCGCATGCGCCCCGCACACCCAGTACAGCTTCCGTGGCCCTCCTCCAGCTCCTCCCTGCGTTTCACCCACCCGGTACAGCGCTTCGTGGCCCCATAGGGAGCCCCTACCATAGGTCCCAGTGCTACCGTCCGAATGCGTCCCGCACACCCAGTACAGCGTTTCGTGGCCCCATAGGGAGCCCCACCGAGGGTCCCAGCGCTTCCGCCCGCATGCGTCCCGCACACCCAGTACAGCGTTAAACGCTGTACTGGGCCCACGACAGTACAGCGTTAAACGCGTTAAACACCCAGTCCCGCGTCCCTATGGGGCCACGAAACTTTCGTGGCCCCATAGGGCGCTCCACCGAAGATCCCAGTGCTACCGTCCGCATGCGTATCGCATACACAGTACAGCGTTTCGTGGCCCCATAGGGGTCCCCACCGAAGGTCCCAGTGCTACCGTCCACATGCGTCCCGCACACCCACTACAGCGTTTCGTTCCCCCATAGGCAGCCCCACCGAAGGTCCCAGTGCTACTGTCCGCATGCGTCCCGCGCACCCAGTACAGCATTCGTGGCCCCATAGGGAGCCCCACCGAAGGTCCCAGTGCTACCGTCCGCATGCGTCCCGCACGCCCAGTACAGCTTTCGTGGCCCTCCTCCAGCTCCTCCCTGCGTTTCACCCACCCAGTACAGCGCTTCGTGGCCCCATAGGGAGCCCCTGCCATAGGTCCCAATGCTACCGTCCGAATGCGTCCCGCGCACCCAGTACAGTTTTTCGTGCCCCCATATGGGGCCCCGCCGAAAGTCCCAGCGCTTCCGTCCGCATGCGTCCCGCACACCCAGTACAGCGTTTCGTGGGCCCATAGGGAGCTCCACCGAAGATCCCAGTGCTACCGTCCGCATGCGTATCGCACACCCAGTACAGCGTTCCGTGGCCCCATAGGGGACCCCACCGAAGGTCCCAGTGCTACCGTCCGCATACGTCCCGCACACCCACTACAGCGTTTCGTGCCCCCATAGGGAGCTCCACCGAAGGTCCCAGTGCTACTTCGCATGCGTCCCGCACACCCAGTACAGCTTTTCATGGCCCTCCTCCCCCTCCTCCCTGCGTTTCACCCACCCAGTACAGCGCTTCGTGGCCCCATAGGGCGCTCCACCGATGGCCCCAATGCCCCCGTCCGCATGCGTCCCGCACACCCAGTACAGCGCTTCGTGCCCCCATAGGGAGCCCCCACCGAAGGTCCCAATGCTACCGTCCGCATGCGTCCCGCACACCCAGTACAGCGTTCCGTTGCCCTATAGGGAGCTCCACCGAAGGTTCCAGCGCTACCGTC